CGGTTCAGCGGGACTTTTAGGCGCTTTTATCTAAAGCTGATTAAATCCCAGAAAAGTTCCACTGAAGCACCCGATCTATACAGACGTTGTGTGAGCCAGGTCCAACTAATGCGTTGCCTCTTGTGGCTGGGCTTGGAGTGGGAGCACATGGAATTTAAAGTGTCAGTTTTGTTTTGTTTTTTTTAATGTTTGCAAGCAGCCACAATGGCTAAAATTTTAAGTGCCTAGATTTGTTGGCAGGGAAGAAAGTCTTGTTTTCTGGATGTTGAGGCCATTAAAAAAAACAGATTTTCTAATGAGAGCTGTCCAGCCAGTGGCCTGAAGGCTGCATCTAGCTCATGAGGGTTTACCGTTTGCCCCCCTGGGCTCCTCCCCAGCCAGCACTTGTCCTCTTGCTGTGATGGCTAGGGTCTCTAAGAAAGGGCAGCAATGCGGGAGGGGGCCCAGCGAGCCCAAGCAGTTTGTGGCCTGGGGCTCATGATGGTGCGTTGTGCAGCCCCCAGCTGCTCAGAAGTTGTACAATCCTGCTCTAACGTAAAATGCACAATATATTTATGCAAGAACTGAAATCCAGAATTCTCTAATATTCCCAAGACTGTCCTTCTCACAAGGCCAGACAAATTCCCTGTTGCTTGTTTTTCTGCTGGTCCCATGAATGTTGCACTCTTTGTTGTCAATGGCCCAGTTTTATCAGGAGTGGTGTAAGTTCCTACATGCTTAGCCTGTAACCTAGTAGTTAAAGCACTCTGCTGAAGGGAAAGGTGCAGGTTTGAATTTTCTCAGGGCGAGATGGACCTAAAAATCCAGGTCTCATTTTCTGGGCAGATGCTCTTGCCATTAGGTGAAAGGTGGCACCTCCTTCTGAGCTGCATGTGTACCTTCAGTGTCACATACTTGCTAGGTACGCTCTGTCTGCCCAAACAGAACTGGGGCGTGAGATAGAGATTAGGTGGGTCCCTGCACCAATTTGAATTTCAACAAAATATATATGAAGTGTTTAGGTAGCTGGTTCAAGTAGTTTCTGAGCACGTGCATTAGCTCAAAGCTAGACACCTGCAAATCTTTTCAGGTCATAATGGAGGTACTTGATGCATCTAAATGGTTGTGTGCCCACTTAGCTGGTTAATGGGGTTTGCTCTTTATAACTTAGGTACCTAAATTCTACCCAGGTCCTGTCTAGACCCTTTAGAGACGGACTGGGATCTGTCCCAGAACAACTCAAAGGTCACACAGCAGGCCAATGGCAGAATGAAGGACAGAACACAGAAATCAATTCCCACACCAATGCTTTTCACAAGATCACCCTGAATAGTTCTACTTGTTGACATCATTTTTAAGGGCCAGACTTACAAGAGAAAAAGTTGCATGTTAATTTAGGGGCCTATGACGAACCCTATCCCCTATCTTCATTTCAAGAGGTGGGAGCTCCATCATAGACAAGGTGATACATGGAGGGGCAGCAGTAGCTGCTTCAAAACTGTATGAACTCAAAGTGGCAAAACTTCTATATATGCAAAAAAGGAAGGAAACCATCACATTCAGGAACCAATAAATCGTCAAAATGAGAGACTTCAATTTATAATCTAACTCAAATTATTTTTTCAAAATAAAACTTTAGATTTAGAAATATTCCCACACTTAGAATTCCAATAAAAACCTCTTTCAACCAAACATGTCACTGCAGTTTTGAAATACAAATACCTCAGTATTAGGATATTATAAATCAAGCTGCCTAAACAAAAATGAAAATCAGATTGATTTTGATCATCTAAAAACAAATGCAAAAAATAATATATATCCTAAAGCAGTAGCTCTCAACCTTGTTAGATTTGAGGCACCCCTGAAAAGACTCAAAGCTCCCATTTTTTGAGTAGAGAAAAATAGAATAGATTTTCTGCTGCAAAGTATTCAGAAAGACCACAACTACAGATTTCTATCTGGAATTTCTGGGTTTATCTTGTGAATTAT